TAAAAAACTAAAATTGCTGTACTTATCCACCTGAACAATATAGCAGAAAATATTTGTAGGTTCTGAATTGCAATAACATGCCATGCCTAATTTCTGTACGAGTTTATCTACTATCTAGGTCTTACACATGAAAGACCCCTATGCAACTTCAGGAAATTTATCATTTAATTGATGCATCCGTGTAATAAGACAGCTTACACTTCACTTTAGTTTTAAAATTGAGTTCTTATTGGGTGCTTCTGTTTGCAGGTAACAAACTTAACGAGAGATGAACTCAGGTGAGTTGCTGCCTTATCTCTTGATCAGAGTATTAATTGAGTAAATTTAGTTTGTAATACTTTTCTTTTTTTACTGTGTTGATGTCATTGGAAGGGACACACACACACATGCTTTGATGAACTCTGAACACTCTGGAGTAAATTATCATTTTTTCTCATGCTTGTTTGTGCAAGATGGGCTTAGACTTGCTCCAATCCCTCTTATGAATAATTTTACTTGCATTCAAGGAGTTAGCACAATTATATTTGTTTTAATAGAAAAAAGGTTAAATAAATTGTTATGTGTCTGCAAGGTTAGTCTGGAGGAGAAAGCATCACAATTACTGAATTACATATTTTCTGTATTAAATTTACATTATCTGATGAATTTAACTTTTGAATCCTGGTGAATGGTGCAACAAATATTCCCAACATACTGGAATGTTTCCTTTGTAGAAAGCTTACATGAATCTTAGTTGAAAGGAGTTTAAATATTTGTACTAGTCTGTTAAACAATGTGAATTTGGGCAGTAAATCTCAGGGTCCTTTTTCCTGTTGTACTGGTGATGGACGGTAGTAATGAATTAATGTTAACATATACTAGGCACTTAGCTCTATAATCTCATTAGTCATGTGACTTTTCAATTTACTACTTCACATATGTCCCCATAGAGAAATTGATTCTGAAATTTCTTTAAGCCATAAAGTACTGTGCTTAGCGGGACAATATAGTGATTTTGTTGTATGAATGCTGCTGCTTACTGCCAAAGTATTGGCTCTCTCTTTAAGAGTTTAAGTTGGTGCAAAGATTTCTAATTCGTAAACATCTGGCTTGTTTTCATGATGTGCCTGATTATAGACTTGAAATTTTATGAAAAATATATATCTTGAATTGCTAATAAGTATTATTTTGCTTGTGCAGGAATGGTGAAGATGACTCCTTATCTAAAATGATGGAAGCTGAGGAGGCCTTGGAAGCTAAAAATAAAGTATTATTTCTTCGCAAATTACCTTGAGTTTCATTACATTAAATTTAGACCCACTATTTCCTTCATTTTTGTTTTAAATTACAAAGAAAAAGGGAGTCCTTTCTTATGTAGGGGTGACGATAATCTATGTTTATTCACACTTTAACTGATTGTTGTTTTGCAGATATGTTTATCTTACTGCGTTCTGATTAGTAGCTTTATTTGATGATTGTAGTAATATTAGTTATTGGTGCTATGATGTACAGGATAAGCCTTCGTTTGAGCTCTCTGGAAAGCTTGCAGCAGAAACTAATCGAGTAAGAGGTAATGGCTAGTAACTAAAGTGCTTAAGTCTTTAAATTGATGAATGAATGTACATTCTTATTGCAGTCACTTCTTTTGCAAGTTATATTACATTTCTCTCCCGAGAGTTAGTACATTCAAACTTTCAGTGGATTTTTGGGTAATCTGCTCAGGGAGCTTATTCCTGTAATCTCATAAAAAGATCTCACGCTGGTAAACAACTCTACCTTGATGGGCTTCATGGCTTTGGAGAATATTTTCTGAACCAAAGGGAAGTTATTAATTCATTCATTTTTCCTAAGAAAAGTTCATTTATATTCTACAAAATCATTATTTGCTGTATGGTATGGAAAGACCATACATATTGATTTTGAAGTGGGTTTTGGTGCTAAACTTGCATAATCTTGATGTATATGCCTTGCTTCCAACAAATTAATGAAAGTCAAAGCTATATTTTGCTGTATGTATGAAGTTCTATCAAGTGAACCCATGAGTCTTTCGAGCGTGGGTTGCTCTAGGCCTCACCACTGTGTAACATTACAAGCTTGATCCCATCAAAACTTAATAAGGTTTGGATTGATCATATTACTGCTAACATGATCTTAACTGTTAAGATACACTATGGATGTCCTTAAAGAGAAGCGGTTGGAAAGAAAATGAAGAACTTGTGTACTATAGGATATTTTGCCCTTCGAGCATGAGAGGACATAAGGCATATCTTGGTTTCGTGTTTGTCAACTAACAAAGAGAATACACCTCTTTATTATATCTACCTTTCCTCATTGTATGCTGTTCCATGCCAGGCATAACACTTCTCTTCAATGAGCCACCAGATGCTAGAAAACCCGACATAAGATGGCGCTTGTATGTTTTTAAGGGCGGTGAAGTCCTTAATGGTAAATTTTCTTGATCCTTCTATTTATTCATTCTTACGTCATAGTGTATCTTTTTTATGAATTGCTCCATAAATGGCTCCATTTCTTTTTATAATTTTATTTTAGTACATCTCGTAATATTAAAATACAACAAATGTCTTCTATGCATATTCACAAATTGTGGTGTCCTTCGCCAGTAACTATCACATTGTACTTGTGCAAATTTGACTACATGTGCTTCTTTCTATTTATTTGATATAGTGGTGGGAAGCCTGCTTATTGAGATGCATTAATCATTATAAGTATCATGTGCACCTACCAAGGACACATGCATTCCTTTTTTTTGGCGGACTGCCTACTGATATATTTTTGTTCTTTATAATGTGGTTGGTAAAAACATAACCCTATAGATGACATCCATTACACCTGATACTGCCTCTTAATTCAAGTGGTAGTCGTAGATTTATGTCAAGTTCAACGTCCTAGCTGACTTTTGCTTGTCTTTAAAGATGAGATATGATAGAACTACATGACATACCCAGTAGTTTAATGAAACTAAATGATCCTCCTCTTAGTTTGTATATTTCCAGAAGCCTGTATTTGCTAGGAGTTGCATAGGATGGTATATTTTTTTGAGAACAAATCGACCCAATCACCCCGATGACTTTCTTTTATGTCTTTTCTTGTATTTTTATAAACTGATTAATGCATTTTATCCAATTATATATAATATGTCTGAGGTTGTGACTTTCCATGATCTTACAATTTTCCCTTCCTTGAGAAATAAGGATAAAGAAACACTCTGGAGTCGCCAATATCTTGGTCCTTATTATCATACCATAAAAAGCTTTGCTATACTATAGCCACATGTTAAAGTAGAAGGGTAGTCTTACATTTCTTAAACTAGATGGGAGCATGACACAGTTACATAGTAACTACAGGAGAGGATGTCTAATTAACCCGAAATATGTTGGCTGAACATGTTTTGTCGAGCTGGAAAAACATTAAGCTTGTGATATACGGATGTTAGTGAGGGTTGGTGCTATGGACTTTTAATTTTAAATCGTAAAAGTGGATTTGTCAGGATCAAGATGGAAACTGTGACATTCTAAATGGAGGTACTATATCTTATATTATTCATTTGGTGCAGTTCTCTGTAAATCGAGAATTTATCTTCCTTCAATCTGTCTGCATATTCAATTGGTTTCAACATCCATACATCCCCACCGCCCCTCCAAAAAAAAAATCAACTTCTGTATGAATATTGTAATGGTGGCATCACTTAGTTCCCGCCATTGGGTTACTGTCCTTTACTCTTATCTCACTCCCCTCTTGGATATTTAGTGGTAATTGTAAATGATCTAGATAATGAATTTTCCATGTGTTATAGATCCTCTATATGTTCATCGCCAAAGCTGTTATCTTTTTGGGAGAGAAAGGAGGGTTGCAGACGTTCCCACAGATCACCCATCTTGCAGCAAGCAACATGCTGTCCTCCAGTACCGGTACGATATAATCTTAAGTACTGATTTATTCAACTTCAGTATTTTACAGTTCATTTGACCTTTTATTTTTTGGTCATTTGGATTATAGGCAAGTTGAGAAGGACAAACCCGACGGTACTTCATCAAAGCAAGTAAGGTGAGACTGTGGTGCTCGGTTGTTTGGTGCAAGTTTGTGACATATATTCTCTACATATACCTCACTGACAATTGCTTGTTTATTGGGTCTATATAGGCCATACGTAATGGATCTTGGAAGCACTAATGGTACTTTCATTAATGTGAGTCATGATTTGCATTTCTCGTCTCTTTGCGTAGAAGGTTATGTAATGATTGGTTTCCATATGGCTCAATGACCCTCACTTTTATTTATAGGAAAACCGGATTGAGCCTGAGAGATACTATGAACTATTTGAAAAGGATACCCTTAAGTTTGGTAATAGTAGGTAAGTTGCTTTCACCAACTTTATCAGTTGCTTGAATTTACATGCTTCATTTTTATCTTCTAAAAGTTATGATTGTCTGGATAAGTTTCTGTTTACTGAGCTATGCTTCAATCTTCTTGCTATTCTTTTTCTTTTAATTTTAAATCCTTGTCATTGCGTACTTCATTTCATATCGATTTCCATCAACATCATGGACTCCAATTGCTAATTTTATCATAAATGCAATTTCTCACAGAACTTAATATGATTTTGGAGTTTGATCACATCAATTTGAATTAGATTGTTTTCTATATTCTTTCATTTACACTCTTTGCCTGAATGAGTTTGCGCTTGATACTTTATTTACACTCCTAGATTTTGCATTAATGTGTTGTTGGAAAAATTTGCAGCCGAGAGTATGTACTGCTTCACGAGAATTCAGCATGATGAAAGTCTCGCTAAAATGCTAGATAGAGGTGTCATTTGCATCGACTGGCTTGATGTTGGACGCGTTCATTCACAAACGATCAAACATTTGTTAGGCCTTGTTTACCAGCACACTAGCCATTGCAAGTTTTCAGCTAAAATCGTGTAATGTGCTCGAGATTTGGGCATTGTTAATGGAAATTTTGGTTCCATAGCCTCCATGATTCTTGGATGGTTTGTTCTAGTTTGTTTATAAGCTCTTAGTTCCCTCATAAATGGGATTGTGTAAAATTGTTTATCAGGCCATAACTAGTGAATGTGCACTCACATTTCCCTCAAGTAATGAATATTTATCTTTTCCTATCATTGTTTTGTTATAAAAACTGAATCTAATGATTTGGTGTGTTGGATTAAGTTCTCATCACTAAAATTTGTCATGTTTTTTTTTTTACTATTTTATGATGGTATTCGAGTCGGTCCTTTTTCACGTGTTGTTTTACCTTGAAAGGAAAATGAGCTTTACTCCTATGGGCTCTAGGCGCTCCTGTGGTTTGAAGGACGCACAAAGGATGTTGTCGATGAACAACGGACTGATAGAGCTTTCAGATTTTATTTTCTCTTTTTTCCTATAAAAGATTTTTGATCCTTTTATTTGAAATTTCTTTCGTTTTACTAAACTCCTACAATTTATAGGAGGATGATATCACACTTGAAACTCAGTAGATAGTGAGTTTGTCTTTTTACCCTTTCTCCACTAAAATATCAAGCTTCCAAACTCGTAACATACACGTAGCATCTAGACCACGATTTGAAATTCAATAGATAATAAGGTCGTTCTCGTTCCCATTCTCTACTTATGTATCAGGTTTTTACTAGTACCAAGATTTGAGCTCATGACATACACATAACAACTAGATCACAATTTGAAATTCAGTAGATAAAAATCTCCTCGCTCTATCCTTCTCCACTTAAATATCAGACTTTTACATCATAACAATCAAACCACAGTTTGAAATGACGATACATGGTCCCACCCGCCTGTCTACTCTTCTCCACTCACACACCAATGTCTTCTTGGATCTCTAGAAGTCAATAATGGGCTCACCAATGGTGAGATTTCTTTGGACAGTCCAAGGCAAGTTAAAGAGCTTTGCCATAATGAATTTGAAGATCTTATTCACATTGATGTTATGAGTTGCACTTGAGAAAAATAGAGTTGCTTTCATTGCCTTTGCATATGTTCTTGCCTACAAACATAATTCAAATTTCATGTTGAAGTTTCATTAAAAATATGAGTATAAACGAACTATAAGTTTAACGATAGATTCGTTAAGAGAAAGTTGTTTCCCGTTAAAAAAAAAATTATTTTCGAATTTGAAACTGGTAATTAAAATATAAATATTAGTACACCTTATCCATCAAGAGTTATGATTAGATGATATGATCATACTATCCTTTATCAGAAGTCTCGACAGTAATCCAAAAATAAATTTATTTTGATAGTGATGCTTTACCTATTAACGATACTTACGCCGTATAAATTTTTGATTAATGATGCTTCAAAGTAAATATCAAACTCGCAACAAACTATACTAAGTGCAACATTTATGAAATTGGTGGTACCTGAGAGACAATAGTCCATTGAATATCTAAAGGAAGTTGAACAAAATCATCAAATTTTGTCCCAATTAGTATGGGAATAGCACTCTGCAAAATAAATAAATAAAATCATCAAACCTATAATATCACTATTTTTATTATTACCACAACAAGTATCGAATAACTCCACGTATCAAGATATTTACATAACAAAAATAAATTACCTTGTAACTTTTTTTTCAACCCTTCGATATTTGAAATGTCTGAATCAAACCCAACTAATTCAGATTCGTGACGTGTAAGGATCTCCACCATAAAATACTCTACTTGTAGGATACATATTGAGACAATTTATTTAAAATATAAGGATTTTGTTTAACTTATCGTATCCAAAACTCACTTGTTCATTCTGGACTAATTTAGATTCGCGAAACCAAGCTCACACACAAGCATGCTACCATGCAAGAGATGTGTAACCGGCTAACTATCAAAGATTAAAGATTTTTTCTTTCATGATTAAAATCTGAGACCTCTTATTAAAAATAGAAAAATCTAAATAATTACATAGTATTCAAAACATGCTATTTAGAACATCCACTAATTCAGAGTCACGATATGTATAGTTTTTTAATCAAGATTTCTCTGTTTTTAAAACTTGAATCTAAGACGTATTACGAATTTGAAAGTTTTCTCTTTTCAAGAAAATAAAAGTAATAATGTGAAATAGAAGTCAAAAGTTTCTCACCTTATTCCATTTTCTTGCTTGAATGTACCAATATTTAACACTGCAATTACCCAAAAAAAAAAAAGGATCGAAAATAAAAAGTTAATTAGTGATTAAAAAAAAGTTTTTAACTAAACAGACATGAAAATAGTGATAATTGTTCAAAAATTGTATTTTTAGTCCTTGAAATATCAATAAATACTATTATTTATTCTTGTAATATTTGACTAAACGTATATGTTATATATTAGGTTTTTACTATTATTCATATTTCAGGGTAAAATATAAATATAAAAATAATCTGAAATATATTACCTTTATTTCAAATAATGTTTAACACTATAATTATAGCCATAAATAAATGTTATGGTATGCTTTTATGTGTAAATGTCAAAAAGTTTTATAATCACACAAATATTATATTATATTTTATTTTTAATCCGAATAAATAAGTAAAAAAAATAAAAATTCTTCTTACTCGTTTCTAAAACTCTTTGACATCCGAATTTAGAGTATATCGCTCTCTCCTCTCTGATCCCTCCTATTTCATTCTTCTGTTAACTCGACTAACTATAATTATAAGTTACACGCCTTGAACTCAAGGCTATAATTTTCAAAATCTTCCTTTTAAAAAAATCATGTTCAATCAAATAAAATTGAAACTGAAGGACCAACATAATTTATACATAAACTGATAAATGTATCAAAATTATATATTAAATTAAATATACTTACTTATATATATCATAAGAATCAAAATAAAAATTTATCAATAATTACGCGATAAAAAAAAAATAATGAGGAAATAAAAATGAAGAAGATACCTGTTCAATGAACTTCTACAATTAAGATCAAACATGAAGAGAATTGCAACAGCATCTTTACAAGCAATTGGAATTATTTCATATGAACTATGATCACCTGTATAATTTATTTATTTTTTGAATTAAATAAACAATTAACATAATATACATGTTAATCAAATATATAATTAAATACTACTACTACTAATACTAATAATAATAATAATGATAATATTAATAATAATAATAATAATGTACCTCCAACATCCCAAATTGTAAATGCAATTCTAGCACCTTCAATGACTAATATTTTTTCCATTAAATTTAATCCATTCATTTGCAAGCTCTTCTTTTCTTGTTCATCACCCACATATTTTGCCTAAATAAAAAAATAAATAAAATAAATCCAAGTGAAAGAGTAAATAAAATATTATATATATAAAAGAATGAAACAAATCATATATAAATATTTATAAAAATGTATAATGGGATAGATGAGATTTTTCCACTCTTGATTTAATTAATGGTCTAAGGTTTTCAAATCATAAGATGAAAAAAAAAAAACGAATGCTAGGAAGACGTTACAGAAATAACGTTTATTCACTTCTACATATTGTACTGAAAAATAATCATTGTTCTGAAGTTTTAAATATCACAAGTGAAACTCCAAGGATATTATCGAGAATTTTTTGTGAAATTTTAAACTCAAAGATAATGTCTATATGGTGTGAATTTTTCTTTTTCTTTTTAATTATAAAAGGTAGAAAAGCAATTTTATTATTAATTTTGTAAAAAAAAATAAAATCATTCAAGATGGATCTAACTCTAAGTAAATTCAAATATTCAAGCAAGTAGGAAATGGTAAAACAAAAATAAAAATCTTAAGTTCGAATCAGAAAAAGATAAATTTTTTAAACAAGTATGATACTTCATGAACTTAAATTAGTCGATCAAAATAACAACATGTATCAACTGGTGAAGTAAACCAAGACTCTTAACTAGAACATCTTCGATTCGAATTCATAAAATAGAGATATTCATAGATATAGAATGATTAAACATAAAAAATAAATTATAAATGAAGAAATTAATTTAAAAAAATTCATAAAACTTACCACAAAACTTGTTTTCCCAATTTGACAATCACCCAAAATGCTAATCTTCAATGAAACTAAATCTGAATCATCACCACTAATTACATTTACAGTCTCAGAATTAACAACTTGCAATTCTTGAGAAACATTTTTTGTGGATAACTTCTTGTACTTCTTAAATTTTTCATTTGAACAAACTCTAATTTTTTCCCAAATTGATTTAATCTTTTTCTTAAAGATTGATGCTTTTTTTACCACTTTCCACTTTCTAGGGATGACCTTAATTGTTTTAATTTGCCAAAATTGATGACTCATCATTCTTAATCAGAGTTCTTAATTGGAGAATTTTCGATATGAAGAGACCCCCGCCTTATGCACAAAGATTGATTATCGTGCCATTTGAATACTGAATACCAGATGATTAAATCAAAAAGGGAAATGAGTCATCTATCTGGTGATTAATTTTCCATGTATGTTTTTTAAGAAAGGATATAAAAAGAAGTGTATATGTCGTCTCGGGATTGGAGAAAATTTCGATACGAAACCACTACCTCTTTATAAAAAGAGGAAGAGGCGGAGGAGCACGAGGAGGAGGAAGAAGAGCAGGATGGCAAAAAAATTAGGTTTGGTGTAAACACGTGATAAGAGTAAATTTATATCAAGAGAAGGGAGAGGGGAGGAGTGACATGTACAATTGTCCAATGACGAAAAAGTTCTACTAGCTTGCTTTCTTGATTTCAACGTTATTCAGATATATTCGTAAATTCACGTTATTCTACCTAAAATTTGTATTATACTATCAGAAAATTTCCGTGTCATGATGTTATTAATTTTTTTTTAGTAAGAAGACAAAAAGAAACTTGTTACTTTCATGATCATCTGGTGTTTAATATTCATGTTTGAATTCTATAATTTAAATAAATGAAATAAAATACTTTCTACTTGTATCTTTTAGATTTTTAAGGCTCAAACTTGCGATTCAACCAAAAAAAAAATGTAAACACATAGTCATTATTTTTCTAAAGTAAGTAAGGTTTTAAATATGTCAAAATATATTTGGTTGGCACAAATTTATGTTATTTATGATTTATCAATTTTATACTAGAGATCAATACCTAGGAATAGAGGAAAAGAAGAAATAACAAGTAATGACATTTATTTATGTGTTTTTCCAAAAGAAACAAAGCACTAAAGAATGAAGTGAGGTTGTTTTGGGCATTACTTAAAGTTATATAGAAAAATTATCAATTTGTTGTTATAATTTTTTTAAAAATTTTTACTATTAGTTTGATTTGTATAAATTCAAAATTTGTATAATTCGATTCCTGATTGTAGAGCTATCAAAATAGGTTGGACAACCCTAATAGGCTAGAGAGTTAAATGAATTAGGACGGGTTGATCCTTTTAATTAAAGGATCAATAAAATAGCAATCCAACCCAGTCCTAAGCGGGCCGCAGTTCGGGATGGGTTAGCCTTGCAATCGAGAAATGGACAATATTGACCTCTTTGAAAGAGTATCTAATGTTGATGTCTGATGAACACGTCACCTTTACATACAAAAATCATTCATGAATTACACATACTTCAGTGAATAGTTACAAAACAAAAATATAATAGTCAAGCTACAACATTCATAAGATTCATTCGAGCAAAAAATTACATGATCACTATTTTCATAGACAAGACAATAAAGGAGAAGTGGAGAATTAGGCGTAAAAACAAAGTAGAAAGGCCAAGATTCATAGTTATGATTTAGTAATGGACTTAAGCTAAAAAAAAATTTAGTGGTCTAATGACCCTAAAATGTAACAAATATAAAAATAGTTAACTTGATTTTATATTGATATTTTTAAAAATATTTATTGGTAAAATCTTAACGAATATATCTTTTGATAATTCACAACTCACGGACTGACCTCTGAGTCTTGCGAGTCGCGCCTACAAGGCTAACGAGGCAAACGAGGTTGTGCTAAAAAGTCTCGTTCCTAAATTGGCTAAAAAAATTAAGCTCAACCATACTTAATTCAAGGGTTGGGTTAGACCGGCCAAGTCCATTTTAATAACTCTATTACTGTAGCTATTAGTATACAATTTGTGAAAACTCATAATAAATTACTCTGTTTGTACATTGGTAAACTAAAAATACAAACGGAGTTCTGAAAAATTCATAAATGTATAATATATAATTTGTATATACTTATCCTATTTATACATTTACAAGCGAAATATATAAATGGACAGAAATATATAAACCGCAACCTTCATACCAATATATCTATGGAGGGAAGTTATTGAAACTACAATTGTAGAGCCTTATTATGTTCATTTTGTTCGCTATTTCTAAAAGTTGTGCGCAGTAAATATCTCTCCATTTCTAATTGTAGGTTTTAGACCGAGGGCGGTAATATATATATATATATATATATATATATATATATATATATATATATATATGTCATGTTAGATCCTCTAGAAATAGTTCGTTTTTTAAAAATTCAACAATAGTTTTGAAAAGTCCGAGCGATATAATCTTCAACTATGACTATGAACCATTTTTTTCAGCAACAATGCAGGAAAGAACATAGGAAACAAGATTCTAATACTTCACAAGCAAATCAACTTTCATAAGTACTTGAACGAACGTTATAGATCACACGAGGATAGATTAGAAACCTCTGGTAAAATGTCCGCCCGTAACATACAAGCTCTCAAAACAGATACATAATAGAGCTCACATATGGTAAAATGGCGTTGATCTAAAAAAATATGACGGTAATGAGAAGATGAAACTTACACTAATGGTTAATAACAAAACTTGATACGTTTATGCCTTCTGGGCTTTATAGTTAACGATGAAGTCTTTGACTTCATCGTTAGCAGCCCTGTCAAGGGCAGTACGTCCGTCTGCATCTTTGACTGTGTAATCTGCTCCAGCTCTCAGTAGCTCTTCGATTTTTGGCAAGTCGCCTTCAGAGGAAGCCATCAGCAGTAAAATATCGACCGGGTGTATGTTTTGGCTTAAAAGAGCCTCCATCTTGTCATATGTTCCTTCAACTGCAAGCATGCCCATGTAGTTGAAGTACTGCAACAAGTAACACGAAATTCAGAACCCTCACCGGCAAGGTGAAAGTTCAGACATAAAAGTTGACTAGTATAATTTTTCGACGAAGAAGATTTGTTGAAACCCTGCGTAAGACATGGCAAAAACATGTTTTTACCCAACACGGTTTTGCCATGTCATACACGGGGTTTCACAAGACACAGCTCTATCAAGTAGAGGTGTTCAATTGGTCACTACTCACTGGGAAAGTTAAGGTGTCTAACTGAAAATTGATACAAAGTTTGAGGGGCTATCAACGTATTTGGCCCATCATAAAAGTTATCTTGCCACCAGAAATTATCACAAGAAACTATGATTTTGTAGTATATATAGTACCGTTAGCAAAAACCAAACTATAGATTATATACATAATACACTGATCATGAAATGATTCTATTCAGTTAGGATTAAAAAAATGAGCAACAGATCTCCGCAAACCAAAATGAAAGGATTCAAGGACTCATCTATCTCAAGATACCAGGCACTCAATATTGAAATGTTGCACCATGTCAATCGTTGTTTCATTTTTACTTCACTTTAAATTCAACTCATTAGATTCAGTCATTGAAAAGAAGAGAAAACTAACGCACAATCGTTTTGTCAATTAGAGTTTGTTGAATGATATTTCACAATGTAGTTTTGTTATGCATTAAGCTCATGACTTTGCTCAAAAACAGAAAAAGAGAAAACATATACAACAAACCACCATAGATTAGCAATTTAATCACACTCTAAACCTTGAATTCGACTATGCTCCTACATAGAGAGTCTGATGTAAGCATGGCTGCTACGGATTCAAGTGCCCGAACATTTCTGTCGAGGAGTATATATATCATCTATGTAGAAATTACTAATATTTCCAACAAATATTAAATCTTGAACTCGATTATGCCCCTACATCCCCTACAAATCGAGCCAGACCTTGCTTGTTTGCTACATATTATATATATATCATCTGTGTAGAATGTACTAAATTCCGAAAGACCAAAATTTTAAGGTTGAACACCTAAGGCTTAAGACTCGAGTACAAAAAGGACAACCTGATGCATAAAGCATCCTTCACGCAGGGTCCAGTAATGGCCGCACCCCAACTGTGTGATGTAGATTTTAGACAGCTCAATGCCAAAATTTTACTGGTCGAACACATCAAGTTTAAATCTTGAACTCGACTATGCTCCTACTCTCCTACATAACAGAGGAAGACGTAGCATATTTGCAACGGATTCAACTACCCAACATTTCCAACACAGAGTATACATATATATCTTCTATAAAAAGGAGCAGCCTAGAGCACTAAAGCTCCTACTATACATAAGGTCAAGAGAAAGACCAAACCATAAGGGTCTATATAAGCAAAGTAGCCTTACTTTGCATTTCTACGAGAGACTTGAAACCATGACCTCCTGATCACATGATAACAACTTTACCAACTACGCTAAGACTCCACTCATAATTCCAAAAAAAAAACACAATTTATTAAGAGGTCGAACAAATAAAGCTTAAATCTTGAAATCTCAACTAAAAAAAGGGCAACCCTATGTACAAAGCATCCGAAAAAACTGCAACAACTTCTGCTGAACACATAAAGCTTAAATCTTGAAGTCGACTATGCTCCTATTGTCCTACATAACAAAAGCAGACGTAGCATGTTCGCAACGGGTTCAACCACCTCACATTTCCAACACAGAGTATATATATCATCTATATAAAGGGGCAGCTCGTTGTTCTAAAGCTCCGTTATACATTGTTCCGGAGAATGGCTGCACTACAAGTCTATATAAGCAGCCTTACCTTGCATTTCTACAAGAGACTAGAAACCATAACCTCCTGATCACACGACAACAACTTTACAATAACTTTATCAGTTAACCTAATGCTCCACTCGTAGTTCCCAAAAAAAAAAAAATTCTTAAGGTCGAACACATAAAGATCAAATCTTTTAACTCTCAACTAAAAAAGAGCAACCCCGTGCACAAAGCATCCGAAAAAACTGCAACAACTTCTGCTGGACACATAAAGCTTAAATCTTGATTTCGACTATGCTCCTATTGTCCTACATAACCAAAGCAGACGTAGCATGTTTGCAACGGGTTCAACCACCCAGCATTCCCAACAGAGTATATATATCATCTACATAAGGGGCAGCCCGTTGTACTAAAGCTCCCGCTATACATGATTCTGGAGAATGGCTGCACTACAAGAGTACAAGTCTATATAAGCATCCTTACCTTACATTTCTGCAAAAGAATTGAAACCATGACCTCATGATCCCACGACAACAACTTTACCAGTTACGGTACTGCTCCACTCATAATTCCCAAAAAAAAACAATTTTTTAAGGTCGAACACATAAAGATCAAATCTTTAACTCTCAACTTTAAAATAAAGGACAACCCCGTGCACAAAGCATCCAAGAAAACTACACAACAACTTAAATGTATACTCAAAACACATCAAGTTTTAGCATTTAGAGAAAAATTAAAGAAACCCCACCTGCTCAACATCATCTCTATCAAAATCATCACGAGATTGACTACCATAAACTCCAGCAGTTTCAGCATTTTGTCTGAAATTAAACCAACAAGTAGTTCTTGAACCACAATTTGGCCCTAATCCATTTGGTCTACACCATCCTATACTTTTCAATTTCGAAAAACCCATAAAACAAGAATTCAATCTTACTGAACATGATGAAAAAAAATTGGGTCTTGAAGAAGAGAAAGTTAAGTGGAGAGTACATGGAATTGAAGCCATTTTTGTGTTAAAAATGTGATTTTTGAAGCTCAAATATCAACACTACCTTATCTTGATTTTGGATCGAATTGTTATTTATTTTCAGTGACATAAATTTGAGTGTGTAATGTAAACAACAAAATCAGAGTGGCGCAGCGGAAGCGTGGTGGGCCCATAACCCACAGGTCCCAGGATCGAAACCTGGCTCTGATATGTGAAAATAGAGCAAGCTTCCCAACCACTAATTTTTTGTTTAAATTACGTTGAATCACACTAGAAAATTAGTTTAAATTACGTTGAATCACACTAGAAAATTAGTTTAAATTACGTTGAATCACACTAGAAAATTAGTTTAAATTACGTTGAATCACACTAGAAAATTAGTTTAAATTACGTTGAATCACACTAGAAAATTAGTTTAAATTACGTTGAATCACACTAGAAAATTAGTTTAAATTACGTTGAATCACACTAGAAAATTAGTTTAAATTACGTTGAATCACACTAGAAAATTAGTTTAAATTACGTTGAATCACACTAGATACATGTATATGTATGTATTTGGAGCGATTCACATGTAGTTATTATACCATATGCATTTGTGAGTGATGAGAGAGAGACAAGTGAGATTTAATTTTTTGTTTAAATTACGTTGAATCACACTAGATACATGTATATGTATGTATTTGGAGCGATTCATATGTAGTTATTATAGCATATGCATTTGTGAGTGGTGAAAAAGAGACGAGTGAGATTTACTATGTATCTGATTTTTTCATCGAAATAATAGTATTTTTGTTTAGGAAAAACTACGTTGAATCACACTAGATACATGTATATATATGTATTTGGAGCGACTCACATGTAGTTATTATACCATATGCATTTGAGAGTGGTGAGAGATAGACGAGTGAGATTTACTATGTATCTGATTTTTTTCACCGAAATAATAATATTCTTGTTTAGGAAAAACTACGTTGAATCACACTAGATACATATATATGTATGTATTTGGAGCGACTCACGTGTAGTTATTATACCATATGTATTTGAGAGTGGTGAGAGAGAGAGGAGTGAGATTTGGTATGTATCTGGATTTTTTCAAATTCGATAATTAAGAAAAAGATACAACTAATTAAGAGTTTCTTACCATATATTGAAGATTATATACTTAGATATATGCATGTTTGCTACCAGATATACAAAAATAGAGAGAGAGAGGTGAGTGAGATTCATATATATCTCATATACATATGAATCACATAATGTATATATTTGAAGTGATTTCCATATATCTAGAATATCACATACATAAAAAAGAATGATGAGCGAGATTGACTATGTAAAAATACAACAATTATTTTTGTTTAAGAAAATTTACGTTGAATCACACTAGATACATGTAAACGTTTGTATTTGGAGCGACACGAGTGAAATTTGCTATGTATCTGAGTCGTTTCATCGAAATTATAATTAAAAAAAAGCTACGACTAATTAAGAGTTTCCTATCATATATTGAAGAATATATACTTAGATATATGTGTTTTTGTTACCAGATAGGCAAAAATAGAGAGAAAGAGGTGAGTGAGATTCGTATGTATCTCATATACATATGAATCACATAAGATACAAATTAGACGTATATATATTATATATATTTGAAGTGATTTACATGTATCTAGAATATCAAATACATAAAGAAAATGACGGGTGAGATTGTTTGAAAATAGATATAAAATACCTTTAAAATTATTTTATTTTTCTCTCAATAAAAGATAGTTTTGAATTACTCGTGACCCCTCAAGATTAATTCTCCTAACTAATATCAGTTTTATGTGGCATAATTGAAATTTCATTACACTAACATATGAAAATGTACTTATTATATAATTTTTTTAAAATATATATTATTCAACTCAAAAATAATGAAAATTACAGATTTTCTGTTTTGTTTTTATATATATGATTGTGGCCCAGAGAACACAGCTCATTTGCCAGAATTGATAATTAGATCAAGTTGTACACTAATAAAGGGCTAAGGCCAAAGGGTTTAATACCTATGGCAAATTGTATTAATTACACTGTGTTAAATCAGTACTAATTCTTTTTCGGTGAAATATGATTAATTTATTCGTGTGTTTACTTTTAAATATTTAGACTCCCCATATATTCCGCTATTGGTTATAGAATGTTACGTTCAACAGCAAAAACATAACTTTTCTAACAAAAGGTAAGATTGATATCTTCGTACGTTTCCTTCTTTATATTTTGACTCCATAATTTTAAAAAAAATTCAAACTCTATCGCTGGCGATAGAATGTTAGGATCAACAACAAAAACACAACATGGCAAACAAAAGACTAAGACATAACACATAAATACTTTAGCTAACGACCATGTCATCCAACTTTGTATATGCACAAGTACACACATAAACTCGTGTGAAATCGAAGAAATAGACATACGTTCAACATGACATATAATACACATAGGATTCCACATATGACAGAATTGTCAAGTAAGACACCACGTAGAACACATATGTCTATTTATTTAATTTTATACAAATTAAAGTGTTTAGCTTACTCGCCCAAAATTGAAAGACGTAAATATCAGCTAAGGCCAAGTTAAATGACACGATTACGTATTAGGCCAAAGGTTAAAGGACAAACTCATCACCATTCTATTCAAACAAAATATAATGAATTCACAAGTAGTTAGAAGTTGAGCAAATTTAAAGTTTTGTTTTAACAACAAGCACATGAATGAAGTGATCATAGGGGCCTCCCTATCTTCATTCAAGCCTATAGTTTTCACTTTATAACCAAAAAATAAAACCAATTCACATATCAAACACACTTTTTTTCAACTTCATACCACAATTTTCCCTCATATAATGCAAAGATTTGAGTATAAAACTAATGGCTTAGGCTTTACAGTTGCTGCAAATAATCCTCTTGTTGAGATAGGCAGCAGAGGAACCGTTGGATCCCTCGTGTTACGAGAAATAGAGTACTTCAATAAGCTACAACTAAACCAGCACAGATGTTGCTTGAACTCTCTAAAAACGTTGCCTACTACTTTTGAAGGATCTGACACACAACACCAGTCAACGTTTTTGAAGAGTCTGAGTAACATAAATCACAAGTCACGTCAAGTTTCAGATGTGGCTTCTACTAGCAGACCAAGGCTTGGATCGTTGATCGCGAATCCCAAAAAGAAAAGGACTAGTAAGCTGATAATGCCTAGTATGTGTTCAATGGTAGAAGTTGCAGAATGTAATCCACCAGCTGCTATATCAAGATTCACTTACAGGAATCTAAAAGGCTGACTTTTGAAGCTTGTCGTGTACTTTAGATCCTATGTTGCTCCGAATCTTCAAAATTGTAGCTGGATGCATGTCAGAATCTTCAAAAGTAGTGTATTTTTGGAGAGTCCGAGCAACATAGCAGTTACACCGAGCTGTCAGATAGCTTTGTGAAACGGAGCTTCTTTAGGCTATTTTTTATAGGGGTAGCCCAAGTTCTGTCCATACTTTTGCATTTTACATCAACGATTTCCACCATGTAAGGTCCCTTTCTGTCAGGTTTCTTGCTAATAGGAGTTCCATCTACTGAAATGTTTTCTGATTCTAGTATTGGAATTTGATGTGTTTTTCTGTTGTTGTGCTTTGTCTTCCTTAATGATTCGGGGCTTTTAGTATTATGCTTAGATGTTGTTCCGCTGCTGCTTGCTTCATCACTTGGTGTTCTAGTCTTCATTCTCTTTGGACTAGTCGCGCTACCAGCAATGAAACCACAAACAGTAGGAGCTTTATTCCTAGATGATGTTGGTGCCTGAGAAGACGGTTTCTTGGAATGTAATTCTCTTGACATCAATGCACTAACTTTACCTGTAGTTCCCACTTTGATCGAACCTCCACCGACTTTAGTGGCTTCTAACATTTGAGCCATGATTTTTCAAATTTTCTCGGATTGATCTACCAGATAGTATTTAGTTAGACCCTGCAAGGACGTAACGTAGCAATCAGAGCATGAACAGATACATTTATATGACGGAATGAGCTACAAAACCAAAAATGTTGCAGCACCTGTGTCGGATCCTCCAAAAAAGCACTAGTTTTGGAGAATCCAGCACGCACCTGGCAGTAGAATCAGAACAACAAACGTAACAACTTTCAACAGATAGTCATTGGAGAGCAGATTCAACATACAACTTCGACATAATAGTAATCTGGAAACATGATATCAAAACATAACCTTCACTGTCCTCCGAGTTCTACTAAAATGTTCATCGCAATTTCTCAAAATGACAGTCGAAAGGGAGAGGCAAGATGGATTATTGACTACGCATAACACACTACTTTACTTATATTTACAGTTCAGATATATGATATGCTGCCCAAACAGAAAAAGATCCAACACGATAACCAAATTAAACGCAGAATCAGAACGAGATAGTAGATGAACTATATAGTACACAGCAAGTCGAATCACAAGAAATTAATCAACTTTGTTGTGACCTAGAAACCATTAAACCACACAACTTCAAACTCATTAGCACACGAGAAATATACTCGTGTTTTCAAACATTGCTAGCACATATTAACTAGAGCAAATCAATAGATAACAAATCGAATATGTATAAAAGGTTATCAACTTTCTTTCATTTGTTTGCCACCGATGTTTGTACCTGCTTTTGGGGTCCGATTTATCTGGACTCACATCGAAAAGTCCCTACAAAAGCTACTCAATACCTAGATCTCTAGTCAAGGATATAGTAATACTTACCACTAGATCACAATCTTCTACAGTAGGTTGTCAACTATAGATAACGCCACGACGTATACACCAAATCAAATTCAAGATTACAGGAGGACCCCAAAGTTATCAACTTTCTTTCATTTGTTTGCCACCGATGTTTGGTACCTACTTTTGGGGTTCGATTTTTCTGGATTCACATCGAAAAGTCCCTACAAAAGCGACTCAATACCTAGACCTCTAGTTAAGGATATAGTAATACTTACCACTAGACCACAATCGCTGACAGTAGGTTGTCAACTATACATAACGCCACGACGTATACACCAAATCAAATTCAAGATTATAGACCCCAAAGTTGGAAAAAAAAAACAAAGAAAAAATGAAACTTTATAAAATCAACATCTAAACTAAGTGACCACAATGCACTAAACTTGAATCTCAATGAATAACTCAGTAATCAATGAACAACATTAACGATAACAAAGTTCTTAATGAGATTATGAGCATATAAAACCCCATACCCCAAATAAGAAAAAAAAACACATAAAAATTGAAACTTTTCATAGTCAAATGAATAGACAGATCTAAACTGAGATAGACAGGTCTACGGTTCAATCGAATTCAGTAGCTTTAGCTCAAAACTAGTATTTGACTTTAAAAAATTCACTTAATACACATAAATCATACATCAAGAACCCAATAAACCGCATTTTTTAGAATCCGAAACACATAAACTCAAAATCTTAACTCCGCATCTAAACTTAGTTACCACAATGCACTAAAACCCATGAACCCCAACAACAAACTACAAAAAAAAGAGTAGTGATAACAAAGTTCTTAATAAGATTATGACCCAAATATTATTCAAAATTTTAAAAGAACACATAAAAATTGAAACTTTTTGAAGTCAACTAAATAGACAGATCTAAAACTGAGTTATAGGGGCAGAGCTATACCTTCCCTTACGGTTCGACATAATCCAGTAGCTTTAGCTTAAATTCGATATAAATTCAAAAAGCTGCATTTTTTATAATTCAAAATGTATAAACTCAAAATACTAACTCCGTATCGAAATATGAGAAGTGTTTGTGAGAAATGGTTGATATAGAAAGATTGTAAAAACAAATCCCACAAGAAGAGAGAGTTGAAGAAAGATGCAACAAGACCATGTCATCATCAGCCAAAAAATAATAAAATAAAAAGATTATAATATAAAGTATTTATGGAAGTTTTTAATTGACTTCAAATTTTCAAATTTTTGTGTCAATTTCAAGGTATCTACATGTTAGCATCAATCTCTATGCTCTGAATGGGGCCTATGAAAATCACATTTGGACGATTATATTGTTTTAATTTGTTTGTCTGATTTTTTAAAAAAAATTATTAATATATAATTAGATTATATAAAAATTATTTATTTCATTCGTTAAAGTTTAATTTATCTATATTTTTTTTTGTAAAAAAACTCATTTATGTATGCTTAAATATACCATCGAAACTTTGAATAAAAAGTTTTAATTTAATTGTATTTAAAGAATAACGTAAATAAGTCTTTTTTTAAAAATAAAAAAACAACCTATTTGAGCTTTTTCTTTTTTCTTTTTATCTAATTTATTATAATAAATAAATAACTATTTTGATTCATTCAATATATTTTTAATTTTTAATTTTACTTTTTTTTATATTGAATTTAAAATTAGAACAATTTAGAGGGTGACATGTCACATCTGACAGGTGGTTAAGCTACCCTTTGATTTTTTCTTTCTTATTATTTTATTATTAATTTCCCAGTTCTTGAATATGACTTAATTTTAATCTATTTTTGTACTTTTTATTTGGAAATAAGTTTAGAGAATTTTTACCTATTTCATATATAGTAGAAATTAAATATACAGTATAAATTGTATAGTATTTTTAAGACTTAATTTGTTATACCGGAAATTAATTATCTTTTACAATATAAGTTAATGGTTCTGAAATTGAAGTGTTGTCACTATTAATATATATTTTTTGTGAAAAAATTAAATTATCTCGTAAAAGACATGACTTATGATTTTAATCTAAACGTTTATTACTTTATTTATTTGATTAACTGGATTGAAATACTAATGATTTTGGTGGTAGTTATTTATTTTGGGCTGACCCGGTTTGGTTTGGGCCTTTGCCGCTTTAGTGACATTCTTTTATGGAAAAATTACGCGGATAAGCAAACTCATATTATTTAATTACTCATGATAGCTATAGTTTGCTATAATTATCACTCACGACTAACATTATACATTAATTACATGGGCTGACTTCGAGTTTGTATAATTAGTCATGTTTGTATATGTATAATTCACCTGAATATACAAGTAAATATGTATACTATACAAATTTTAGCCTATATACATATACAATTCACATCTCTCCCACTCTCTTCCCTCTCTCGCTTACCTCTCTCCTCCCTCTCCCAATCTCGCTTGTCATTTATACAAATGTATATGTATAATATACAATTATATACAATTGTACACAACTATATACAAATACAATTCACCTCTCTCCCACTCTCTACCCTCTCTCTCTCGCCTCTCGCCTCTCTCTCCAGTCTCGCTCGCCTCTCTCCTACCTCTCCCAATATCTCTTGTCATATATACAATTACATATGTATAATATACAATTATCTAACCAATATACATATACAATTTACCTTTCTACTCTTTCCCCCCCTCCTCTCTCTCAATCTCGCTCGCCTCTCTCCTCTTAATAACATGTAGCTACGAATTGTAATTATCAAACTATAACTACGAAGAGTAATTAATTATTTTTAAATGACTATATGTGAAAGTTTCCCTTATTTTATTATGATATGGCCCCTTGAGGTCTTTTTATTTATTTATTTTATAAAAAAAATGATACAAATATAAATTTATGTCTGTTAAAAATTAATTTATTATTTCGATGACAGAAGTACTTTTGACCTATTCAAAATGTTGAAGGACAAAAATTAAATATCACCACAAATAGGGACATTTGTGCAAATTACTCATAGTAGCCTCCAGCAAAAATAGAAACTAAAGTTGATATTTCGAGCAACTTGCATTTATATTATGCTCAATTTAATTTGCGCAACTTTCACATATAGCAAATAAAAAATTCATATTTGTATGTTAAAGCAAACTTTGCATAATTGCGTTCCATAGCAAACATAAAACTGTATAATTTGCTATACATATACAATTGTATAATTCGCTGGCCTATTTCGCTGCAATTGTATAATTTGTTTTGCATACAGTTGAATCGAATTAAAATATATGTATATTGCATAATTGTAAGTGTATAGCAAGAAGATATATGTTTTTTTCGCTCTATACAAAAACAGAAACACAATATATACACTTCTGTTGTATAAAATTAGAGAAAATTGTATTTCACTGCAATTGTATAAATTTGTTGGCCTTTTTCTCTGCAATATTTGAAGTAAAATGTTTGTAAATTGTATAATTAAGTGTATAACACGAAGATATACATTTTTGCATGTGTATATACAATTTTCTCTCGCTTTATACAAAATAGAAACTGAATTATACACTTTTGTGTATAAAAGTGAGAGAGGCGAGCGAGAATGGAGAGTGGCGAGCGAGATTTGTGGGAGAGGGATGCTGACAAATTTTATCTAATGTTTGCGATGGAGCACAATTAAATCAAACCCTAGCTATTCTATTTAATTTAGGTTATTAGTTTGCTATTATATACAATTTTCCATTTAATTTCCAATGGTAGAATTAATTTCGTAGGTCCCTTGCAGTTCTATTTTACTTTCATGTTGACAAAAATAAATCTTATATGTTATAGTCTGATACAAAATAAGATTCCCTGAAGATGGAAAATCATTTTAATTAAATTATCTTAAAGTTTGTTTAATTTATTTATCATTACTATGATTTTAGGTTCTATTTTCAAATATGGGTCTTAAAAATGGCTATTTTTTAAAGCTTATTTTTGCCTCAAGGTTCTTTATTTTGGGCTTTGACATGGGCTGTAGCCTAGGTCGTTAATTAGGCCCTGGAATGCAAACATTTAAACCGGGTTAAAATGCGATTTCAGTATTTGAAGAATTTATGTCTTATTTTAAAAAAAATTTAGTTATTATAAGGCAATTATTTAAACGCAATTTCAGTATTTAAAGAACTTATATCTTACTTAATAAAAAATTGATTACTATAAGGCAAATATCAAAAATCAACCTATTCGAAGGAAAAAACGTGTAATTTTGTGATTACAAATTTAGACGTAAGCTCTATTACTTAAGTCAGATCTTAAGTGGACAACTTTTCAAAGTGTTGCGGAAGTTATCTATCTAAACTATTGTAAAACAGATATTTTATCTTTCACTTTATAAAATGTAAGAAAAACTTTCACTTTATAAAGTACAGAAAAAACTTACACCTTACAAACAGGGCCGACTCCTTTGCCTTAATTTTTTACCAAGAATAAATTATATGGTAACTTTTTTAGAAAAAATTAATTATTTATGATAAAATATATATATTTTAAAAATACTATTAGTTTATTCTCATTTATCCCATTTAAATAGAAGAAATTAAGAAGAAATTGAGCCGCCCCTGCTTACAAAGTGGAAAAAATAGTTCAATTATATATTCAAATATACACGTCACGAGACTAACGGAAAATGTTTGAAATATTGCATAAAACAATTCTTTTTTCTGTCAATAAGTCTATCTTAGTTACTTACTACAATAATGACTTATTTTGATCACTTTTATTTTGTTGTGACTTATTTAGATTCCGAACTCCTAATATAACATTAATAGCCTTTTCCTATAACAACATCTCGCTATAATAACTTTTTTTATTGTATTTTTGAACATCTTTAATCTTATGGTGGTATATTATACGTTTTATATAATAACATTTTATCATACAATTACAACAAAATGTTAGTGCAATCACACCACTTGTGTAATCGTTAGTGTTATACTCAAAGGTTATTAGTGATAAATCTCGATACAAGTAAAATATATTAAAAAAACAAATACGCAAAATAAACATGGTAAAACATAAAACATAAGATACTACTAAAATCGAAGAATAAATTAGCATAATCGTAATAATAACAGTCGAAGAAAATCAAAACAAGCACACTATTATATAGAGCTCAATCATTATTAAAAAAGATTTTTTTTATTTCATCGAAATGAATTACGTTATTACAGAGAGATTTGACGGTTCACGAAACGAACTCAAAATATATTGGCTCCACACCCCCACCCCACCCACCCCCAAACCCCCACCCCACTCCCACCAGTGTTCACTCAGAGCAGATCTCCTTTTCCTTTCAAATTTTTTTTTTTTCCATCTGCTCTGTAATTCGTTAGCTTCCATTTTCAGTAACGCAAAATCTTCTCTTCTTCTTCATCTTCTTCTTCCACTATGCTACCTCAGTGACCTTCAAAATCAACAGACATTGTAAAAAATCGTATAGTTTCTTTGCAAGATTCAGAAAAAATGGCTTCTCAAGTATCCAAATCTTCAAAGCCCTCAAAACCCACAACACAATCATCATCAGCACCCCCTTCAAGGTCATCATCATCATCTTCATCTTCATCACTTTCAACCCATTTAGCCATGATTGAGCTGAAGCAAAGAATCCTTACATCTATCTCTAAGCTCTCTGACAGAGATACCCATCAGATCGCTGTTGAAGACCTCGAGAAAATCATCCAAACTCTATCAAACGACGGCGTTTCAATGCTCCTTAACTGTCTTTACGATGCCAGCAACGACCCAAAACCTGCCGTTAAGAAAGAAACCCTTCGGCTTCTTCCCACTGTATGTGCTTCGCACGGAGATTCTGCGGCGACCCATTTGACGAAAATTATCGGCAACATTGTTAAAAGGCTGAAGGATTCGGATTCGGGTGTTAGGGATGCG